GGGGGGGGGGGGGGGGGGATCCTGATGGCAACATCGGGGGGGGCGCCAGCGAGAGGGAGTGGAAAAATTAAAGGGTTTACTCGGTACGTGTTTTTTAGGCGGACACATTTTCGGCGGTACTGCCACTTGGCGGTATCGACTTTGGCGGTGGAGGTACAACGAAAAAATGTAGGTGTTTTTTTCGGTGGTATTGCCATATGGTGGTAACAGTTTTGGCGGTCGGCGGTAATGATGCGTTTTTCGGCGGTATCGACTTTGGAGGTGGCGGTAAAACAAAAAAAACGGGGTATTTTTTCGGCGGTAATGCCATCCGGCGGTAGCTTGTTGGTGGTTGGCGTTTTTCGCGTTTTTCGGCGGTATCGACTTTGGCGGTGGCGGTAAAACCGGAAAACGGCAGTATACCGGTACCGCCCACCATGGCGGTATTTGGACAGCAATATTTTTGTTGAGTAAACCCTTGGGTATGTGTGTACGCCGCGTCCCGTGCCCCATGCGTCCCTGTCTCCCTGTCCACTCAATATATCAAAGGGTTTTCCCGAAAACAAAATCAAACCAAACTCCAGAGCCAAAAGACGCACTGTAAATGAACAAAATTAGAACAAATGACACTGAGTCACGCCTGGACTCCTAGTGACATGCACTTTGACCCGAGTGTGGATGAGACAAGATTTCTCCTCCCTCACCAGTAGGTGCGGTAATTACTATTTTTTCTCCCATCATTGGATTCTGTCGTCTGCCCCTCTGGCCCCTATCCTCCCCTTCTACTAGCTAGACGACCCAACCGAGGTTACATAGGAGGGGGGAGTTGGACCCCCTCCTGCGGTTCCTGCCTGAGATATTTTTATCGCGAGAAGGGTACAGCAGTCCCTTCCCTCGCGACTTGTGCAGTCGATCAAGTTTACTAACAACGCGCCTTGCAGCGCGTCGCTTCCATCGGAGACCAGAATTTAATTAGTGAGAACAATCTCACTCTGCCGGGACTCGAACCCATTACCTGGCACTTAGCAGGCTGCGAAGTTACCCACTAGACCACCGGGGCGACCGGTGTTGTACCTATATGGCGGTGATTTTCGGCGGTATTGCCATAGAATACGGCGGGAACAGTTTTGGCGGTCGGCGGTAATGCGTTTTTCGGCGGTATCGACTTTGACGGTGGTGGTAAAACCGAAAAACGGCGGAAAAACAGCGGTATACCGATACCGCCCACCACGGCTGTATGACGGCGGTATTTACACCGAGTATACCCTTGGAAAAATGCGGTGTATTCCTTCCGAGACCCTTGTCTGGCTCGGCGAAGACTACAGTATGTGACTTAAGATACCACACTCCCTAGACCGATTTTCAAAGCTCGACTTTCTCCTCACAGCAGAAAGAGTGGCGGTACCGAACATGGAGCCGTCTTGTCGAGAGCTTTCCGAAAACGCATCGCTCCATTTACTAATCCTCTTCGTCGTGGAGTACAGCAGTACAGCAGTGATAGAGTCGAGGTTTGAAGCTCGGTCCAGCAGAGGGGGGGGTATCCTACAGCAGCATGCCACCTACGGCACCAACACACAAAAATGCAGCTGTGCAGGGTGCACTACAACCCGCACTGCATTTATGGCCATACAGCAACGTGCGCGCAGCACAACAGCGCCATGGGCTGTGGGCGCCTGCAAGCATGTGGGTGCTTATCGTGTTGAGTCACGGAGGCAATGTGACATGAAACACATGCGCGTGGAAAATATGTAGGTCAACACTAACGCACAGCCACAGCATCGTCGGTCGGTTGTCCGAGAACGAAAATCCCCGGCATCCCTTACCGGAGACCTTCTGTCGAGCTTGAGCCACGCCATCATCGTACAAACCGCTCCGCTGTTGCCGTGAGGTACAGCAGCAGCTGTGGAGCAGCTCGAAAAGCTGCCGGGGTCTTCCTGGACGAGAAATCTCAGGCGAGATGGGCTACATCGGCGAGCCCCCCGGCAGCCGTTACGAATATTCAACCACACACCCCTCACTAGCACCACGGGAGGAGGGATAGAGGCAGCGCTATGGGCCGTTCATTGCGTACACGGAAAGAGGTATGTGGAGTCGGAGGGGGGGGGG